CACGAAGTCCCTTCCGCGGCTGGCGCTTCAGGAGCGAGCGGTTTCGCCTTTCCGCCGGTTGCTTCTCCCCTTTTTTAAGGGCGGCACCGAAATAGTTTGCTAGAGGGCGCTGCGTGCCGCGCAGTCGCGGCGTTCTCTCCCCGCCGCCTCCCACCTCCTTCAGGCGTCCCAAGCTCTCTGTCCCACGGACCTCGCGGGGATCAAATGCCGGGACGATCAAAGCGGCCGCCGCGGGGACCCCGGAGGCCACGCGACCAGCAGCTCTGGCAGGCGACAGAGCCAGAAAAGGAAACCGCTCCGAACGTTCGACGGGGCGGTTCCATTCCTGGAGCTGCCGGGTTTAGAGGGGCAGTAAGGTTTGGCCGGGTGCCCTCCTGGGTGTTGCGGAGCATCCAGAAAGTGCCCGGACGCCGAGCCGAATTCGGTGGCCAGACGAAACCGGAACACGAATGGAAGTACACCCATCCCGACACCTGGGCGTGATCGGAGTCAGCCAAATCCCCCGGCCGAGAAAGTCAGCGTTGGGGGCTAAGCCAGTTAGAAACTTCTACTGGAAATTTAGTGAGAATTTGATCCAACTCCGTCATGATTTCTGCTGATTGACGGCTAGTACGCTGCTTGCTGCCATGTTGTCAATAACGTCGCACCCCCAATTCACTTATCGAAGCAGAGGAAAAAGTCTAGCTAGGACTACTCACCAGAGAAAAATACAGCAGGAAAGCAACGCAGGTCAGGGCAGCCAGTCTCATTACTGTTCGATAAGAAAAGGCGGCCAGGAAGGGGGAGACTATGGCTGAAGGAGAGAAACAAAAACACCAGGGAAGCGAACTCCCGAGGGATTGGGATGAGACAGAATTTAAAGTTGCTGCAAAATTGTCTCCCAGATGCCTTGTCTCTATAAGGTCTCAGGACACTGATACACGCCCTTTTGCGCAACTTTCAATACCTACAAAGCTATTCCGTTCTTTCTGTATTTATATTTTCCCCGGGGCCCCTCCCACCTACCGGGCTGGGAGCCAATAGGAACCTCCTGTCAGCCAATAGCAACGGTGGCGCACTTCCAAACATTCCAGGGGAGGGACTTTGGAAAGGTAGGAGGGGCCGCATGAATAGAGTCATTCATAAAATTAGAAGGCCAATGCATTCCGAGGCGATGTGCGCTTTAGCCTCGCGCGGGCCAGGATGTTCCGCTAGCAGAGAAGCGCTTTTTATGCAGACTGTTGAATAAGGTTCTTACTCCCATGGGGCACATCGCTGCATAGGCGATCCAGTCTGAGGAGCAGCCACAAACATTCCTGACATGCAAAAAAACAAATTAGGCAGAAGGAAAACATCATGGAAGAAGGAAAATAAACGGAAGGAGGCCAACATTGCGTTTTCCAGAGCGAACCTCTGGTCTGACTCTAAGGTAGATCAAAGGCACACCGAACCGGGATCATCAAATGCTTGAGATTACTATGGAGAATCTGAATGTAACTATGCATATGATATTCTGTACAGTTTTTGGGAGAGTGCACAAGTCTGAAGTCAGACTGAATTTATACCAATGGATCTGGCTTAATTTTATGCTGTTAATATTAAATGCACATAGACGCATCAGAGAGAATGAGGGCCAGCATTGCTAAACCACAGTTGTAATGAAAAGGGGAGGATTGGCATCTGTTCTGCCCTCAGCTCCTTGGGGAGAGGAGGGGAGAATTACTATCCCTAGAGTTACCTGGATGCTGTAGTTCAATTTATCTACCTGTAGTCTCATTTTTTATGAAGCCATATGACAATTTTTAGGGGCCTTGTTTCAAATGCTCCCCATGTGCTGAGGGATGAAGGGCCTTTCAGTGGTTTCTCCCTCCCTGCCCACTGGTCTGTTGATCAATGTTATCTTTGCTGTTTTAGTGTCTGTTGTTTAACAACAGGCAGGATTGTTTTGTTCTTTATTATATTTGTGTGTGTGTGTATAGCTGTGTGCCTAAAATGCTTGACTGTGAGATGACTAATACATCTCTAAACTAAAGAAATAAAACCATAAACTAATTTAAAAGCAACCTTTGCTACATCTATAGAAGGTATAATGATTTACCTAGAACAATTTCTCAGAAGAAAATAAAAGATGACATGATATTCCATTACCTGCAAACTTTTTAAAAACTTTTAAAAAACCAGATTTATTGGCTATCTAGAGTAGCTGCCTGGGTGAACAATTGGCACAGTCATGAGAGTTATTCCTAGTTCCGATCATCTCAAAATATAATTTTCCCCCATCCATCCACCCATGTTGACCTATCTTTCCATATACCCAGAAATGGATATCCATTAATATCTTTGCAAAGGGCAGGCTAGAATTAGAATGACAAAAGTGCTTGCCCTCAGGATCTCAGCTGAGCCCTGCAGAGGCCTGGGTTGGGTGGGTCTGAATTTTGTCCTTTTGTGAGCTTGGTTCAGTCTTTTCTCAACCAACGACTGGTCTGGCTTCCAAGAATCATGACAGCACAAAGACTGTGCCAACACTTAGCATCTGTGTTAGCTGAATGTTGGACCGAGGGTAGATAGGATAGCATTCTCCAAATAGCTGAAAGAAGGTCATAAAGAAGGTCAAGACCTTTGATCTATCATTCCAGAACGTAGGACACGGAATAATGACTTTAAATTAAGTTACAGGAAGGCAGAATCCAACTGGATCTTAGAAAAAGCTTCCTACTGTAAGAGCAGTTTAACAGTGGAAGCAATTAGCCAGAGAAGTAGAGGCTGCACAGCCTTTGGGGTTGCTTTAATTTCGATCCTTGCTTTGAGTAAGGTGAGGCTTGATGGCCCCTTCCAACTCTATGATTTTGTGCAGTGAGTCCAATCTTTCACTTTTTACTGAAGCTTTGGGGACAGGTTTAAACATGTGTACATTGTATAATTTCTTATCACTGGATGACTCAATGCTTATGATGCATAATGAAACGTATTAGTTTACTTATACTAAGAAGCATATTTTTGTTATCTTGCAACCAATGTTTGGTGACTTTCAAGTATTATTTCCTTCTCTCACTTCATATAATCTATGCTCAGCTCAGCAACTGTTGCTTAATCTTCTGGAACATGCTAAATCAACATCTCACAAATTTGTGAGTTAGAGAGCAAAATAACATAAGGTTAGAATCCTGCAAATCACTTTCAGCTTGGCTCACACTGCTTATATCTTCCAAAGGAAAACAAGAGATTATTATAACATGGACCTGAGAAGATAAGAGAAGACCATCAGAAATCCAGCACTGCCTAGTTTGGACAGCTCCTCCCCACTGCCATGCCAGTTATTTTGGGCAAATTATTAGTACTGAAGGTTAATGGAGGTGGGTAGGTTCTGCCTTGTACCGTGTCTGTGGAACCAAAATGGTTTCTAAAGTCTGAAGAGATTTTGTTTCATAATATGTCTCAAATTTTGTTCTGGATAAGCAGCTTGAAAAAGCCACTTCAAGCTAAAATAAATGTATACCTTCCATTCTTTTATCTATAGTTCTGTGGATCGTACCTTTTTCCTGACTTTCTGCTCTCAGACCTTTCTGCCTGGCTACTCTGATTTCATGGAATTACCCCACATACATGTAGGGAGCGAGTCCAAGGCAGCTCTCTAGGGCACACTGCATGGGCATGCCCTCCCTTGCCTGAACTTTCCCAAGCATTGCTTTTTGCCTCCAGTAATTTATTCTATCGTATGCTCTTCCTTTCCTGACAACTTTGAGTTCACCCCAGGGTACTCTTTGCTTCTGCTTTTCTCAGGTCTCCCAGTCCTTGGAACATGGCTTTGCAGAATGGACTTCTTTTATCAAACACATGCCTTCTTCCGACATTTCTAGGATGAAGGAGGTCTACTTTTTAGACAGAATTTTCAGTATTTCATTTTATAATATATTTGCATTCCAAGTGATAAAGGTCTTCTGCTAATAAACCTGTCATTCTATTATATTATCTTACCTCCCAATTCTATACACTAGCCTACACCTTGAGTTTAATGGGAGTTTGCTCTTGGGTAAGTGAAATAGGATTGAAGCCTCTGAATGGGAATTGTTTTTCACCTGAACTCAATGATTCACTGTATTAATATGGGTGAACATATATCTTTTGGGTTTTATGTAGGGAGTATTTGTTGAGGGTGAAAAGAAAAGTGTCCATGTCTAAAAATTAATTATTAGTTAAAGCTCATCAGAGAGGCACAGAGGAGTTGATGATCATTTCTGTGAATGTTTGAGTTGTATGGGGAACTGGCCAAAAGGTGAGGACAGTTACTAAAGAACTTCCTGCTTGACTTCTTGGATTTGTCATAAGCTATCCAGGTTAAAAGCATCTCCTGGATCAGGCAATGGAAAGAGACCTAACAGTAATAGCCAGTGGATATTTCTGAAAGACTTCTATAAATATATTTCAAAAACAGTTAATTTCTGTATTTTTCCATCTATAAGATGATACTTTTTTCTAAAATCGTTACATTAAAAATTGAAGGGCGTCTTATGCAAAGAAGTAAGCCGAGGAGAGAACCGCGCGGTTGTGAAACTGCCCATATTTTGTCTCTGCAAACAGGCTTCCTCCAATCACGAGTCTTATGTAACTGACGTCAGCTGATGCTGAACAAATCAATTGGAGGAAGTCTGTTTGCAGAGACAAGCTATCGGCAGTTTCACTCATGACTGAATGTGATCAGTTATGCAGAAGAGCATGGAAATAGAGCTGCAGAGATCCAATCACGAGTCTTATGTAACTGACGTCAGCTGATGCTGAACAAATCAATTGGAGGAAGTCTGTTTGCAGAGACAAGCTATCGGCAGTTTCACTCATGACTGAATGTGATCAGTTATGCAGAAGAGCATGGAAATAGAGCTGCAGAGAGACAGTTTGGACCTCCTCCCACTGAGTGTATCATGTAAATGAGAAGAGCATGGAAATAGAGCTGCAGAGAGACAGTTTGGACCTCCTCCCACTGAGTGTATCATGTAAATGAGAAGAGCATGGAAATAGAGCTGCAGAGAGACAGTTTGGACCTCCTCCCACTGAGTGTATCATGTAAATGTTACCTAATTACTAAATAAAAATGTGTTCTGCTTTATCTTTAAAATATTGCTTTCTTAATTTTCGGTTGGAAAAGTGGGGGTCGTCTTATACATGGGGGTGTCTTATAGATGGAAAAATATGGTAAACTTCCTGTTGCATCATGAACATAGTTCCTGGAGAGATTATCTTGCAATGGCTTTGATAACTCATTCCCATACTGACAAATATAATGTTTCACTAAACGGTGTGATGTTGCTCTAAGAGAAAGAGAAAATGTCTAATCCCATCATGCACTAGGTTAAAATGACTTCTCCAGTATTTATTTGGGAAAATAATTAATTTTATAATACATAAAATGCAGTAGCTTTGGAGTATGGAGAGAATAATCATTTAAGGAAGAGGTAAGAGGGCATGTTGGTATCCTTTATGATATCACTGGGCATCACTTATAGCCAAATGATGCATTCTTCACCTGTTAAACCATGAGTGATGCTGGCCATAGCCAACGGAAGTTGAACAGCCTCTGGAAAACCAGATGTATGGGTGGGTTCCAAACAGCCTTCCAAAGGCCTCACAACTGGCATAGATAGAAAAGTAATCCTATGTGGGATTAGGGGAGTCCTGTCTTCTAAACTGCAAACTGCAGTGACTTAAGCATTGGGAAGACACATCACAAAATAGCTTGAGAAGTGATGTCTGGGCTCCAGGCGCAGGTTGGAATTGTGAGGACTTCGGGTTTTCCTGGTAGCAGTGATGGGTCATGGTAAACAGCAACAGTAGGAGAAACTTTGCGGTGATGATTTGGCGACCTTAACTGAAGGAAGTAAAAATCCTTACAAGAGGAAGTCTTCCTTCACTGTGGATGCCCTAGCAATAGAATGACTTCCCATTGCTACTTA